ATAACAATAATAATAATAATAATTGAAGCTGTGTTCTTGAGAGTTTCAAGAAAGAATCTAACAACTGTAGATGTTAGATTTTAACAACTGTTTTTCGCTAAACTTTTTAAGTTTATTTTTAAAATCAATTACTGAATTAGCGTTAACAACTTCACTGTCCAAACGATTCCAATTTTCAACTATACGGTTCGTGAAGAAATGATGCCTCGGCAAACATACTGCCTTCGCAACCTTTGATTGTGTCCTCTAGTTAGCCTACCCAATACTTCTGGTTCACGATGCCAATTGATAGTATCAATTTTGTTCATGAATTTGTACATTTGGATAAGATCACCTTTTTCCCTTCTATTTGATAGATTTTGTAAGTCCATTTTCTCTAATCTTTGCTCGTAACTGTCTTTCTTTTTTTTGTAGCCAAATTTTGTAGCTTTTTGCTGAATTTTTTCTATTAAGTTTATATCTTTAATAAAATATGGGTTCCACACTTGAAAAACATATATAATAATAGAATAGTAATAACAATATAAAGTAATAAAATAACAATATATATAACAATAGAAAGTAATAAAAAGACCTTTTGTTTCATTTTTTATCTTTTTATTTCTTTTTATGTAATAATTTTATAATTTAACTTTTTTATTATAAAACTCTGCCGTTTCACAAAGATTAAAAATAATCATGAATGAAGAAATATTTGGCAAGAAAAAAATTACTGAACACTTTAACAAGTTTTTTATAAACAAAATATTTAGCAGTAGAAATAACTCCTAGAAATAACTCTTAGAAATAACAGCAGAAATAACTCCTAGAAATGAAACATATTAATCCTGTTTTAAAAGACTCGATGAGTTAAAACTGTAAATAAACTTTCAACAAGTTTTAATGCACTTAAAAAAAATTAGAGAGTAATGTTAATTTTCTAAAAGCTGTTTTTATTATTAAATTTTAATGTTATTAAATTTTAAATTAAATTTTAATGTTATTAAATTTTAAATTAAATTTTAATGTTATTAAATTTTAAATTAAATTTTTAATTCTCTTTTTCATTTCAATCTTTCAATAACAATAGGTTTTTTTTTTGTCAATTAAAAAAATAACGAAGTTCTTGTATACAAAAATGGCGACGGTTCTATATTATCTTCATCTAATCTATATTTCTTCTTTCTTGTTTTTCAAAGTTGCTCCAGCGCATTATCAGTTACAGACTACATAATTTTCTTGAAAAATAAATCTTGTTTATCAAACAGTTTAGTTCTTGAAACGGGTGAACTCATCATGTAATAACTGATTTAGTCAACAGCAATTTTTAGACGGATTTGCTAACAAATATTAAACTTTCGGCTTGTCCATCAACTTTTCAAAAACTTTTGATTCTGTTGAAATCCTCTGGCACAAACTAAAAACATATAGAGTTATAAACTGCAACCTGTTACTAAGCAACTGCAACCTGTTACTAAGCAACTGCAACCTAACCTTTCAAAGTTATCTTAAAAATAGATAACTAGAAGTATCATATGACTCAACATGTACAAAGTTAGAAAAAATTAGATATGGAGTTCCTCATGGCCCTATTCTTTGACCCAGGCAAATTTTAATTTATGCAAATGATATTTAAAGAAAATTTTCAGTGAGACAGCGCAGTATTTGTGCTGTGGATGAGATAAGTTTAAATTTTCAAATAAAGTGGGTTTTCATAGGGAAAAGACATATCACTTAGACTTTATTCCAAATTAAATAAACTAATACTTTGTGTTTTTTGTTTGTTGTTGTACAATAATAATAAAAATATAAATATAATAGAAACAATAATAATAATCATTGCGTTTCACAAGTTTGCCATGGTAAACTTTATAAACAACTATATTAAATTTGGTTTGAAGAAAAATTTGATTTAGCAAATCATTATTTCTTAGGGTTTTATTGACAGGTTTGCTGAAAACTTTAACAAAATTTTTATAAACATAGGAAAAACTTTAGCAGTAGAGATAATCCCTGGTAATAAAACATTCCAATCTTATTTTAAAAAAGCCCCTAATGTAATGGATAAGTCGGAGCAATATGTTAATGAACTTCAAGAATATTTTAATGTGACTTATAATAAATAAGAGTGCTAGGTTTGACAATAGCAATGTTAATGTTCTAAAAGCTGTTTGATGTTAATAAAATGTTGGGAACTAAATTATTTGATAAAAATGCAATCAATGTGATATTTCCATGTAGTTTTTTTTATTCATCCAAGAAAACTCTTTAAAACTTTGTAACGCCATCTCTTTTAATCTAAATTTGCTCGATAAAAAATTAGAGGCGCTTTTCATAGTGTGCGTCTAAAACTAAAAGATTAAACAATTACTGGAGTTTTTTATTACATGTGCTTTTTAGGAAAAAATTTCTGTGCAATAAATGATTTAAGAATTCTTTGATTTTAATCATTTTCTAAAAGCCGAAATGAAATATAATTAATCTTCATACCATTTACTAAAGTTATTTAAATATTATTAGAATGTTGTAATTCAATTTGTTACTATTATTATTACTTTTATTACTAATAATTTTTACGTTGTTTTAATTCAAATACTTATATACAAAAAGTTAAAAAGAAGACTTGCCTAAACCCATTTTTAACATCCTCACTTATAGGTTTCAAATAAATTAACTACATTAAATTCTCGAAAAAAAAAAAAAAATTTTTTTGTTGAAAATTTAATGTAGATTACTTTGATGTAGGTTACATTGTTTATTCTATAGATATGTTGTCCATTTTCTTTGTTAACACAGAAAATTCTAAAAGAAAAGTCTAACAGGTAGAATTGAAATGGTTAACATTCCTAGCTACCATGACCCGTTTTACGGGTTCCCTATTTCTAGTAATATTAATGACGATGATAATATTAATAAAAAGAATAATAATAATAACAATAATATTAATAAATAATAATAAATAATATTAACAAATAAAAATAATAATATAATAATAATAATAATAGTAATAATATTAAAAATAATAATAGACTGCCTGCCTGCATTACAACACTCAGTTGATAAACGTACACTACGTTGTGCCTACTTTTTATGTAATTCTGTCTGTAAAACAAAAATGAAAAAATTATAAAATAAATTATATTAAAATGAAATAAAAATATAAAAAACAACAAAAACATTTTTAGTCGATAAAGTGGCGTTTTTTTAAAAGAACAATCAAAATTAATAATCTCATTAATTATTTTGTAAGTTTCTTGTTTTGAATAATTCAGAAAATGATTGCTTAATTACCCAAGTAAATTTAAAAGCCGTTTTGACTACTTGCTGCATACTTCAGTCTGGAAGCTTAGAAATATACATAAAATATATATATAATCGAACTATGTAATAAATATTGACGAATATAGTCGGGTAGTCGGGTATTTGACACAATTCACTCGTGTGAATTTTAGTTTTGAGGACCTTTTTTTTATGGGAACCAGTCGGTACTTTTTAAGGATTCACCACTTTTCCTCATTTTATTTGTAGAATCACCTCTGTATGTTTGTGGTTTAAACAATATGTATATAAAAACATTACTGTTTGAGAGATTATTTAAAAAAATTAAAAAAAAAATTAAAACTATTGATGCATATACGTTGTGCCAACAACGTATAAACAAGATAGTAAGCCACTGAACATGTTTACTTTCATTCGACAATGTAAATCTCGGATGATTAATTATTTGTTTACGGTTGGACAATTTCATAGTACTTACAACATCTGTAATTGTGCAAATGTTTCATGGAACTTTATTTAATCGTTGTACATGTTGCATTTTATGATTGTTATGTTCATAGTGTATACAATGTGTTGTATTGATTTTACTTGTATTTTCAAATCTTCTTTATATTAAGAGTAAAAATATTTTTTGTTGAATAGAAAATTATAATACTATATTAAAGCTTGTAACTGTTGTGAGTATTACGAAGTAACTCATTATCACGGAGTTGTTAATTGACTTGTTAATAGGGAGGTTTTAGTACAAGGAAATTAAAGTGTATATATACATACACATAGGAGTAATAATTAAGAAAGTTTAAAGAACAAAAGAGTTATGATAAATGATTAAAATTTTTTATTTAATTAAATATTTAAAGTATTTTGTCTATATTAGCTGATGAGGTAGTCAACGTGATGCGTAATGAGGTAACCAACGTTATTGCGTAATGAGGTATTCAACGTGATGCGTGATGAGGTAGTCAACGTAATGTGCGATGCGGTAAATAAAGTGATGCGAGTCAATCAATATGCACAGGGGTATTGTGTCTGGGTATGCTAAAGTCAGTTTGTTGTAAAATTTGACTGGCTTTCCAAGCAAAATAATCTATACAAGATAAGAAATTTTTCTCTTTTTTTATTTTAAGACAAAAGTGCGTTTACTAACACAGAAAAAAAAAACTAAATACGCACGCTTGTTTTCAAATAAAGTGTACTCATTTCGTTCGTGATTAAACACAAAAATAAATCATTTAAGATAAAAAAAAAACGTGTAGAAAGTAGAAGTTTCCAAACTAGAGTCCTCATAAGCAGATTCAGATCTCAGGAAAGTATTGTCATTAAATTGCGTCCGAATATTAGGAGCCTTTTGCTATGGCAACAGGCTTATTCGTGTTGAAATATTGTTTATTACTATGAGTTTCTCAACTTTTAATTTAGGTTTAGATTTTAGTTTAAGTGTGGAAAATCTGTTTCCGCTATGAGTTTCTTAACTTTTCTGAATGTATAATAAGGGTCAAATCCTGTTGAAATATTTTTCTTACATTTGGTAACAGTTTCATTTCCAGAAATAAATCTACACCCAGAACCACAGTGTAAACAATGATTAGTAACCACTTGTAACATTAGTAACCACAGTGTATGCAACAAATATCAGTTACCAGGTGGAGTGTTTTTTTTTTGATCCAGCAACAGATAAAAATAGAATAAACAAAATAAGTTTGAACAAATATAAGCTTATCTTTCTTTTCCAAAAAAAACTAATCGCTATTATTTTTTAATGAAAAAATATAATACAGATGACATTTTGGTTCTACATAGTTGTTTTTTGCTGGCTCGTCATCTATACTGCAAACGCAAAAGATGAGTCAAAGATTTCGTCTCCAAATTTTGCTGATGCAATAATTGAGGTAATTACTATTATTTTTGTTGTTTTGTTTCGAATCATTTCAAAACTAATAAAATAATAAAAAAGTTAATTAAATAATTTTTGTTTACATATGAGAAAAACAAAGAACTTGTTTTTTGAACTTCGTTTCAACTTTATTATCTAGTGTAACCAATTTTTTTAATATAAGGTTTTTGATTTCTTTCAACTGAAGATTGTTTTAGACTGAAAATTTTTTGTTGTTTTTGTAACATTTTAAATTTTAACAGTAAATTAACAAATTTTCTCTGCAATGATTTGAACATTTATTGTTGTTATTGTCATTTATTGTTGTTATTTTTATTTATTGTTGTTATAGTTATTAAATGTTGTTATTGTTATTTATTGTTGTTATTGAAACTTTATTTTGATCTAATTCAAGTTTTTTTTTTTACAAATTCAATTTTTAATTTCACACTCTTTTTATACTTTTTTAACTTGAATATTATCAACTATGGATACGAATTATGAATCAGATCTTGCTAAAGTATTGAAAATAGCTAAGAAATTGTTAAACTCATAAAGCAAATTTATTAATTAAAACTGATAAAGACAGATTAAAAGAATAGGTCATTAAATGAAACTATTACCATTTTATAGGAGGTAAAACATATTACTTTATAGAGGGTAAAACATGGATTAATAACTTAACTGCGCCTGTTTTCTAAAAAGTTTTTTTACTTAAAATTAAATAATCTGATTTTGTACTAAGTAATCTACATTTCATTTTTGAACTTTGATCTTTGATTTGCTTTTTTTTTTTTACCTGTTTTGTAAAACTTACTTTTAAATAAATTTTTATTTTCTTGTCATATGTACTAGTTTCAACTGGCAAGTGTAAATACTTAAAAAAAAATTTTTTATCTTATCATGGTATTCTATAATTTATGGGCAATTCCACAAAACACGTAACGTAAGTTAAATTACATTCCAGTAAGAAGTTCGCCATCTTTTTTCCTGAGACTTTTTAGTTTATTTTGTTCTACAGAGTCTGAAAAACAAATTAGCAAAAAGATTTTGAAACAGGTGAAAAGAAGGCGAGCTTATAACTGTAACGAAATTTAACTTAAGTTAAGTATTTTGTGGGTATGCCAATAAGTTATGGTATACCATGGTAAGATTGAACATTTTTAAGTTCGAAAATGTGTCCAGGTTCGAAACGAGCTCTGTACACATTTTCACGTCACAGTAAGGAAGGCAACGTGAACTTCCTGGTTAAATGCACTTCCGCGATGCTCTGTGACAAGACCGTTAGGTCTTCTTGGGGCACCTTAATAACAAAATAAAAAATTAAAAAAAAAAGTTTTTAACTTTAAAAGTTTTTTTTAAGGGTGCAGTTGTGCCTCACAGTGGGGGGGAAAACCGTTTTTTTTACTAAGTCTAGTTTTTGTACAATAATATTTTCAAAAACCATTTAACTTTTTAAAAAAAAAAAAAAAAAAAAAATGTGGTTATATAAATAAACTGTTAAAAAACACATTTCGTTTTTATCTTCATATAACATTAATCCAAACATTACGGAGGCGGTTATGCCCCCACTTCCCCTATATATAAAAAATATTCTTATCCCCATCCCCAACCATGTTTGACCCTATTTTAAAGATTTATAATCTTCTTTATTTGTCTATCTTTTTTACATCGTAGGGCAAAATTTCAGCAATTTTGAATACTATTTAAAAAAAAAATTAATTTTGATCAAATTTTAAGTTATTCCTGACCACTGTGCAGCTCATATCAATTTCTATACGATATTCAATTTTACAATCTATTTTGTTATTTTCAACGCTATTATCAACTAACTCATTATCTAAATGAAGTAAATAATTTTCATCAACCATTAAACCTTGTTCTATTTCAATTGGATCAATAATAGCATCTTGTTCAACATCAGAATCAAAATCAAGTGATTCAGTTTCACTGATTATTACCAGCATGAAAACTTTATAAAATTTATTTAGCAGTTTTTATAGCACTGCAACGAATCTTACGTTTTGATTAAATATTTTTTTTTACACTTTACTATTCTTAACAAAAATATGTTTAGCTTTAAAAATATTAGGCCGAACGACTTTTGTTAAGAAAATTGAAATGGGACTCATTGGTCCCACTTCAATTTTCTTAACAAAATATGCAAACCTCTTTAACACTTAAACTTTAATATATAGTTACACGTTAAACAAGCTCTAAAAAATTTTTTTAACAAATAAAAGTTAAATATAATAGGTTTGCTTTTTCAAAATAAACATACCTAATATCCTTAAATGGCATCATTTGACATCAGATCTAAAATGAAAAATAATTGTTGATAAACAATTAAGGGATTGTCCATAAATTACACAACACTAAACATATTTAAAAAATAGAAGTCATTTGCTCTTATATCAGGAGTTGTGGCGCAGTGGTAGCCCAACTGCCCCAGAAACACAGGACCCGTGGTTTAAATCCCACATTAGGGCAAAACCTACCTAAATGTGGGATCTATTAGGAAGGAGGTGTGAACTTCCAATTAAATGCTCATCCGCGGTGCTCTGTCATAAGACTGTAAGGACTTCTTGGGGCACCTAAATAAATAAAAAAATTAAATTAAAAATTTTGCTAATTTTTTTTTTTTAATAGTAAAGTTTTTAACAGATTGTTTAAAACATTTCCGCAATTCAAAACTAATTTAAAATATCCACCGTTCATAACTCGTCATTAATTTATTCTAATTATACGTAAATATGCATTTATTTTTTATTTTTTTACAATTAAGGTTTACAATAAATTGTATAGGCATAAATTGCCTGTCAACCTGGTCTCATATAATATTTGAAAACTATAGAAATTTTATAACTAAAATAAAATAAATGCAGATTAGTCATAGAGAAGCCATTCATTTTTTAAATGCTTGTCTAGGAGTAGCTTAAATGATTTTAGTGATAAAGCGGTTACAATCTCATTAGGAAGAGAGTTCCATTTATTAACTATTCTTAGAGAGAAAAAGTTAATGCGTAAATTTAATCGGGAAGAATGTTTTTTTAGTTTATAGATATGACCACGAGTAATAAAATGGCTATCAATTTCAAACAGACTTCTATCACCATTGTTTTCTTTGCACCATTTAGAAACGTTAATTAGATCTGCGCGAAATAGCCTATATTTAACAGTTGTCATATTTAGCGCCAATAATCTTTGTTTATATGGTATATCATATAACCCTTTATTTCTTTTTAAAGCTCTTCTTAAAACACTTTCTAATTGTTGTTTGTCTTTGTGAAGTACAGGGTTACAAACTGTTCCACAGTATTCTATGTGAGGGCGGGCTAGAGCTGTAAATAGTTTTTTGAAGGATGATAAATCTGGATAAAATGTAAATGTTCTTTTTATTATTCCTATTATTTGTGTTGCTTTGTTAACTTGAATAGTTGTGTGTTTTGAAAATAATAAGTTTGAATCTATGTGAACGTTTAAATCTCGTTCACAATTTGTGGGTTTAATGTTTACTCTTATATTTTGTTCTGGATCATGCATATTATAAGTATGGGATTTTTTGTTGTGTCCTAAGTGTATTACAGAACATTTACCAATGTTAAATTTCATTCCCCATTTTTGAGACCATAAAACAAGAGCGCCAATGTCATTTTGTAATTCTTGCGCAGATTGGGTACTTTTAATAGATCGGAAGATTTTGGTATCATCAGCAAAAAGAGCAGCTTTTGATTTGATTAATTCAGGGATATCGTTGACATATATAATAAAGAGTAACGCTTAAAGGACAGAGCCTTGGGGAACTCCACTTTTAACAGACACCCAGTCGGAATAATTACCGTTTATAACTACTCTTTTTCTACGGTTTTCCAAAAAAGTTTGTTATCCAATATAGTATTGAACCATTTATACCATAAACTTTAAGTTTAGAAATAAGAAATTTATGTGGAACTTTGTCAAAGGCTTTTTCAAAATCGAGATAAATGTTGTCGATGGGAATATTCTTATCAAGTGATAATGTCCAATAATTAATTACAGTTAAAAGGTTAGTTAAGCAGGAATGGCCTAGACGAAACCCATATTGGTGTGGACTTAATAAGTTATTGCTAATCAGGTGTGTCATAATATGTTTTTTTTTATAATTTTTACAAAGATTTTTATTGAGGTACAAGTCTCTTTTTTTGAATATGGGTGAAATTGTTGCGTCTTTCCATATTTGGGGTATTGATCCACTCTCAAGGACTTTGTTGAAAATAGTAGATAAATGTTTAGACATTTGAGAGCAAGTGTTTATAAAAACTATTGGGTGTAATTCGTCAGGGCCTGGTGATTTAGATGCGTTTAGATTTTAGAGGTATGTTTCTATATTTTTTGGACTTAAATCAATATTGTTTGAAAGTGGGTTTACACTTTTATATGTTAAGTTAAATGGCGGTATTGTTGTTATTTTTTCGTTTGAAAAAGTAATAGGAAAATAACTATTGAATAGATGACCTTTATCTCGATCAGTAGTTGCAACAATGTTATTGTATTGGATGTCACGGAATGTCTCTTTGTTTTTTCTTTTTGATTTGACATATGAGAAAAAGGCTTTTGGATCTTGATTGATGTTTCTAGCAAGTTTTTTTTCAAATTCAATAATTGCTTTTCTACACACTGCTTTTGTTTTGTTTTGTGAAATGCAATACTCATTATATGTTTCTTCATTTCTGTTTAGTATATATTGACGAAATTTTGCTTGTTTGTCTTTAGGTTCATGGATTATTTAAGAGTCAATCCATTATGAACGTTTTATATTTTTAATGTTGGATTTTGGTATGTTATTGTTTATACTAGTTTTAAGTTTATTGAAAAATATACTCCATAATTGGTCCGAGTTGGATGTTGGACAAAAGTTTAATGTTTGCAAGGTCTTCATTAATTTTATCATAGTTCCCTTTTGTATAGAAATATTTTGTAAAGTATGGCGGTATATCTATAATAGATTCAATTGATATAGTAAAGTATAGTAATTGA